TGGACGAATCGGTCTGCAGGTTGCACTATCATACTGGGCAGACAGTTTAGACTCAAAGATGTGGTGGATATCTTCACTCCGCCCAAGTCTATTCAAGGCAGAGCTGGAGCGGTGAGGGTGAAAAGCGGCAAGTTCGACGTGACCCTGGTCGTTGGATATCCACCCCCCACTGGCGCCACGGGCAAGAAGATTTCGGTGTACGAGGGGGCTGTGAAGGCGACGCACCAGTGGGTTGACAACATAGTGGAGGGTACGCGGGCCCGCTCTCTCTTAGTGGTGGGCATGGACGTGAACAGCGGCTTCGGTGAACGGAGTGATGGGATTCCTGTGGCAGAGGAACATGCTGGAGAATACAACAGGGCCAAGCAGAACATGTCGGGCGACCTCGCGGAGAAGCTGTGCCTCACTCGCAACTTGTGCTCACCTAGTACTTGGTATTCCGAGGGCGGGCCCACGTTCTTCGGTTCCAAGGGGGCGAGCTCTACGATTGACCACTGGTTCATCCCAGTGGCTGCTATGGGGAACGTCCTTGATTGCAAGGTGAGCTACTTTCATGGGCGACGGCTTCAACTCATCCCTGATCGACGCCCACGTGATCATCTACCGCTTCTGCTTGTGATAGATTACATTCTGGAAATGCAAGACGGAGTCACTGATTCAAAAACAAAGCTCATGACCTGGGACCTGCAGAAGTTATCGGAAGCACTTCAAACGGGAAAGGGTCGAGATCTATTTCTATTGAATCTGGAAGAATTATTCACTCAGCATGAGAACGAGTTCATATCTCTCAGAGAAGATCGGCGAGTTGATGAACACTGGAGTCTGGTGATGCAACTGATGCAGGAAGCTGGTCAGGCACATTTCAGAAAGCACCCGCCTGAACGACGCAATACCGCAGAGGCACGTTTGCAAGTTGAGAGGCGACGGCTAGTGGCGCTTCGTGCGGAGGAACGAGCACGAGTGGCTGGAATGGGCTCTCGCGGGTCCGACTCGACTGGTGATGACGAGCAGGTAGAACCCATCAAGAGGCTCACCAAGCAGCTCAGACAATGGGCGCGCAGGCGACGGGCTGAACGACGCATGTCACTCGAGACGGACCTGGCGGAGGCTGAGAAGCTGGGGCACACGTATGAGATGCATCGGATAGCACATCTGTTGGCAAAACGAGCTCAGGGTACCAAGCGACGGCAATATCTTACGACACCCGAGTCACGACCGTCGGCTAAGGCGGTCGAGGCACACATGGCGAAGCCGAGCGCGGAGGGAGGCATGTCAGCAATACGCGTTGATCGAGCTGAGCTTCTCGCCCGTCGTGGTACCACAGCCATTCGTCTCATGGAAAGGAGCGCTTACCTTGAAGATCTAGCTGAACGCGATCTTCGTCGTACGATCTGGGCTATGCGAAAAAGTGGGAAGCGCAGAGGATCGGTGCAGTGGAGTATTCCTGTCGAACTTTTACTTTGCTGTATTGAACCTGGACATTGCACTACGGCGAGGAGACCACCACGTGGTCTGGGACAACCACCGATCGAGGAGGTAGCGCAGTCTTGTCGCAGCTGCCGATCGGAGGTGCAGGAGGCCTTACTTCATGTACGTCGAGCTGAACGCGCACCTGCAGCTGCGCACTGGTCGTTTGGCTTCGCCCTGGACAAGCATAACGGACTCAGAGGTCTGGACGGCAAGAGGCTCATCCGCCTGGTCTGCACCTTCTGGAAGTTTTTCTTCGGCGGTCTACTTCGGAAGCCGAGCAGCCATGAGTGCGAGTTGAACTTCGATCCGACTTGTCACGGCTACTTGGCGCACCGCAGGCGAGAGGACGCGATGATGGTCACTCGTTGTGTGGGATATGCTCTCAGACAGAAAGGCCTTCGCAGTGTCTCGGAATTGCTGGATATGTCGAACGCTTTCGCTTGCACGCCACTCGAGTGGCTGGATGAGGCAGTGGAGGAGCTGGCGGAGCCGGTGGACTGGGCCCTGCTGCACGACAGGATACATCATCACATCGTGGAGGTCGAGGCGCGTGGCGAGGCATTACATTTCGCCCTCGGACGCGGTGGTCTCATGGGGACCTGTGAGGCGCCCAAGGAGTTTGCCGTGGCATTTCGAAGACCCGTACAACAATGGCGTGCTGAGTGTGCTGCTCAGGACGACCTCCTCCTATTCAAGACACCTATACTGGAGCTACCTGTTTCATGCGCCGTGGTGCAGTTCGCTGACGATTTGAAGAAACGCCACGTCATCCTGTCTGGTTTGGCTACCGACGCACACGCAATCATCGAGGAAAGCCAGACGTTGCTAATCACGGAGCTCGAGAAGGGGGGCTTCAAACAGAACATGAAGAAGCGCGAGATGGTCTCCGAGCTCAAACCTTCTGAAAACTTGAAGTTTAAAGCACTACTCAAGCCTGGGTCTGGAAAGATACTACCACATGCACGGCATCTTGGTGGAAGATACGTATGGAACGACAACGCCAGTGTCGAGGTCGGCTACCGCATTGACGCTTTAAAAAAAGGATGGGCTGTCATGGGCAGATTTTGGTTCGCCAAGAGTCCTCACAAACTACGACGACAGCTCTTTCTGGGCAAGGTAGTGGGGGCTGCTCTCTCTGGCATGTGCCGCTACGTACTCAGCGAGTCGGAACTTCATCGTCTGGACGTTCAGATTTGCAAGAAGTTGAGAGTGATGGAAGGTGGATCGCAGGTGGCACACGACACACATGTCAAAGTTCTCACGAACAAGCAACTCATGAAGCGCTGGGGAGTTGTGCCCTCAAAGGCGGCTCTGGCCATGCAAAGGATACGCTGGCTACAAGATATGGTGCGGCATCCTCTGGCTCATCAACAGGTTATTGCAGCTCTCTGGGGACACTTGGAGGACGAGCCCTCGCCGATCGACATCGAAGGGAAGCTGACGGTGAGCACCAGCCCGTTCGCCAGGCAGTTCACCCGCGACCTCATGCTGTTGGAGGGCATCAGCGGCACGGAGGATTTCTTCGAAGAATGGGCGCTGGTCGGCAGGGCTTGGCAAGAGTTATGGAGCTGCGAGGAGGTGAACAATGCTTTTTTGAAAGTTGATGCGAAGCTGCTGGAGGTGTCACTCATGAGGGAAGATCAGATATGGAAAAAACTTGCACCCAGAGCCAAGGAGTCGGAGGAGCCTGAGGGGGAGTTCGTGTGCGACCTGACCGACTCGCAGGGCGCCGTTTGCGGCCTGTGTTTTGATTCCTTGAAGAAGCTGGTCGCGCATATGACGAAGGCCCGCGGCGGGTCTCACGGCGTCATGTGCCCGCTTAGATGCTGCGTGATTGCGAACCAGTGCTTGAACTGTGGCAGCCTGTTCGCTTCAAAAGATAGCGCGAAACAGCACGTTCAAGCGTCTTGGAGTCTTGGGAGATGTCGGCCTCGAGGGGGCCACCAAGCATGGGAGTTACAGGCCCCCCCTGAGATCATCTGTAAAATGTGTGGGCTCGAGTTTGACAACTTACCTGAGTATTACACACACGTTCGAGAGGAACACTTGCCTCGCCCCGCTCCGCGTCTGGTGGAGCGCCATCGCCTTCGCCATGCCCGCGCTGCTGGCGGCCGCGGACGACAAGAAAGATGGAGGCCAAGAGCCACGCCGTGTCAAGTCACGCACGGAAGGAGGCAGCACGGACAAGAAGCTCAAAGGTGTCGGCGATCAAGGGCTACGTCGGTTCCTGCTCGTGATGGTCAAGCAGCTCCTGAAGGTGGCGCAGGGGATGCGAGAACTCGGAGGATGCCTATTCGACACTTTTCTCTGCCCTGCGGACGGGGCGGAAGCGCTGAAGATGGGGGAGCAGACCCACAACTACGCGGAGGCGGTGAAGCGCGACGGGAAGGGTCACAAGCACGGCGCCCCCTACATCTGGGCGTTCGCAGGCCTGCTGGCGGGACTTCGAGAACGCGGAGACGCAGTGGGAGCCCAGAACGCGAAGGGGATCGTGGACATGATGGAGTGGCTCGACGCGCACGGCGTAGAGGACAAGATGGAGATGATACGGATGTGCCGTCTGGACAAGACGTACGACAAGGACAAGAAGCGGATCACCTTTGTGCTACGAGACGAGCGCTGGCGCCAGACGGTGATCGCATGCTGCGTTCAGGCGGGGATGGAGCGCAAGCAGGGGAAGGCCCCAGCGTCGTTCATGGAGAGGGAGCTCCAGGAGTACGTAGTGCAGCTGGTCGGTTGAGTGCCCGACAAGCTAGAGCACCAGACGCGGACGGGCCTGGACGGGGGCCTGATGGTGAACGTGAGCCTGCGGCCGCTGCAGGCGATCTTGCTGCTTTGCCTGTCGGCTGCCCCGCCGATGCACTGAGTGTTTCGTCTGAGATTTGTCTTTTCCCCTCTCCTCCCCCGACCTCGTCCTCGATCCTCGCCTCGTCCTCCTCTTCCTCGAATGCGTTGGGACCCCAGGGGAGTTCTGTGCTCACCGCGACAGTTGCGGAGGCCCCCAGGGAACCAGCGACTCCCGAGGCTCTTTTGATTTCTCTTGGGATCAAGCGGGGCAGCCCTCGCTGGAACACCTTAATGGGTAGTGAAAGGTTGCGCTCGATGCTGAAACGCACGATGCACTAAGTTCGTTTCCTCCAGTCGGCCGTACCTCTCGAGTCGGTCGGCGGGGCCAACCGTGGGCCACTCTCGGCCTTTGGTGCGGCCCCCTCGCCCTGCGTTCTTCGCTGGTCGTCTCGGTCCAAAGCACCGCACGCCGCCTCTCATCGATGTCATTGTATTTCAGAGTGATGAATCTGGATTCCTAGCAGAAGTTTCGCAGGAGCAGCCTCACAAAGATAAGACACACATAGGGGCCCAAGGCGCAGAATGAAAATCATCATCATCATCATCATCATCATCATCATCATCATCATCATCATCATCATCATCATCATTATCATCATCATCATCATCATCATCATCATCATCATCATCATCATCATCATCATCATCATCATCATCATCATCATCATCATCATCATCATCATCATCATCATCATCATCATCATCAATATCATCATCGTCACCGTCACACCTCTCACCCGCTTCGTGGCCCCATAGGGAGCTAGCTCCACCGAAGGCCCCAGTGCCACCGTCCACATGCGTCCCCCACACACCCATTCGGGCGCACCCCTCACATGTTCCGTGGCCCCATCGGGAGCTCCACCGAAGACCCCAGTGCAACCGTCTACATGCGTCCCCCGCACCCATTTCGGCACACCCCTCACAGGGTTCGTGGCCCCATAGGGAGCGGCACCAAAGAAGATATTAACAATTGCGGTATGCGCAACTGCAGATGGTTGGGTCCTTCGCCAGGGTATCTTTTTTTTCTGGCGATATAACCCTGGGTGTCGGGAGAAGGGGGAGGGGGGCTCCCTCCTCCCTCCTCCCTCCCTTCCCCCGCCTCCCTCCCTTCTCCCTCCTTCCGCCTCGTCTTCCTTGTCTTCCTCGTCCTCCTCGTTTTTGTCCCCCTCCTCCTCCTCCTTCTCCTCCTCCTCCTCCTCCGTTCTTTTCCCTTATCAATAGTTGTCCCCTGTCAGACCCCGAGGCAAGTCGAAAGGCCGGGCCGGGCGTTTCGCCGAAGACTTCCTCACCATTTATGACCTTGAAGCTTCAAAAGTGGCAACAACTTCACAGATGGAGGGCGGGTCGTTTTCAAAATGTGGCTCTCGCTTTAGCGCCGCGCGCATTCGAGTTTTAACATGTGCAAGGGTTTCATGGATTGAGGGTGTGTCGTTTTCAAAGTGTGGTTGTCACCTTAGCGTCGCGCACATTCGTTTTCAAACATGTGCAAGAGCGTCACGAATTGAGGGCGGTTCGTTTTCAAAATGTGGCTCTCGCCTGAGCGCCGCGCACATTCTATGCGGTTGTTAAAAATTGCACGGACTCACACATTTCAATGGTCAGCGTACCAGAACAAGTGTTTTTGAGTCCCTATCCTGTGCCACAACCCCTCTTCGGGGAGGGGAAGGGGAACCCTCCCCCTCCCCTCCCTCAGGTTGTCTTGGGAGGAGTGCCGACGTGTCAGAGGGTCCTGGTTCGGCCCCTGGGAGGCGACCGCCTCCAAGATGGCCCCAAGAGGCGCTCCAGGACTCCCAAGAGGCCTCCAAGAGGGCCCCAAGAGCGCCCCAAGAGGCCCCAAGAGGGCTCCAAGAGGCTCCCGAAAGGCACCCAAGAGGCCTCCGAACGGCCTCAGAGAACCCAAGATGACATCCAAGATGGCTCAGATAGCCCAAGCTGGCTAAAGATGGCTCCCCAAATGCTCCAAGCGGCCCTAAGACCGCTCCAAGACGGCTCGAGATGGCCACGGAGCCTCCTAAGCCTCCCTCGCTGTTTGACTATGCGTGTCTCTTCCTCTCTCCCCCTGTCAACTCTCATGGGCATCGTTTCTGGATGGGCTGGTGGGGATTTGTTTTGATCGTGAGCGCTAACGGTACGACCGCGCGCCGAACAGAAACGAGGCAGCCGCGACAAGCTCTAAGCTGGTGGGGATACGAGAAGCGTTAAGAATGCTGTTGCATGTTTTCAAGGTCTTCAAACGGTTGTCTACCGACGAGGCAGTTCCCGCACTGGAAATGAACCCTTGTACGGGCCTGTCACGAGGGAGATTGGAGGAAGGGTGTATGCCAACATCTTTGATGACTCTTGGGTTTACAATGGTCCTCCACCTCCTCCTCCTCCTCCTCCTCCTCCTTCTCCTCCTCGTCGTCCTCCTCCTCCTCCTCGTCCTCCTCTTCCTCCTCCTCCCCCTGAGGAAGGTTGGCGGGAACCAGCCTCGGACTTATCCCGACCCCTGAGGCCCTAAGGTCGGCAAGCCCAAGGCGATGACAATCGTAGGGGCGTGCCCTGAGAAAGCGAGGGGATCCTTGAGCTCGGCATCGAGATCAGGGGATTCCAATCAGAAGGATAGGGATATGCTTCAAGCTGGAAAGGGGGTGGGGAGGTGCTGGCCGAAACCCTAGCCTTTTCGCTTCAAGGGCAGCCCCACGGATGCGCGCACCACCACTGTGCAACCCCCTTCGGACCTGTGCAAACGACACTGTCCAATCATCTGGGGAGGGGCAGGGTCAGCAAGGGGGGGGCAACGGGTCCTTCAGGAAACGGGTCCTGGTCCCGGGGCTTTCCCCCAGGACCTGCTCTTCATCCTGCTTCATTTTCTGGCACTCCCAGGGCCCGTGGAGGGCCCCGTGAAGCCCGAAACCGGCGAACAACCTCAGGACCCGTTTTCCTCAGGACCCGCTTCCCTCATCACATGAGCAAGAAGCCACGTAAACGTTAACTTTGGGCGGAGATCCGAAAGTAAATGTTTGTGCAGATCCTTCTTCTTCGGCTCATGGCGACAGGGTTAAGTCGGGCCTGTCCTCCTACAGGGGGATTTCGGACGAGAAATACCAAAAGATAGTCAACAAATACTCCAACATGGCCAACAAATGATATGAAAGAATCGTTCCCAGACTATTGTTTTTACTATATTTAAATTTTCCCCCTGTAGAGGGACGTACCCGACTGAACGACAGGGGGGGGGGGGGGGACAGCACCCAGGCCCATTTGGCCGCGATCGCGGCCCCGGCCGGTGCTTCGCCCAGCGCGGCGGCCCTCTTGGGCCCAGCGGCGGGGCGGCCCCGGGGGCCCAGAGAGGATCGGGGCGGGCGAAAGGGGGGGATAGCAAAGGGGGGGGGGGTGAGCATCAGCTCACGTAGCTGATTTTCCCGGCGCCTCCCGGCGCCGGGAGGCGGCCACGTATCGAAAAATGGGCCCCTCGGTGGGGCTGAAACCAGCTGCATGTAGCAGATTACATAACCCCCCCTTTCCCTATCCCCCCTTTCGTTTGGCCCGAGCCCATCTGTGAGCAAGTCTCGACCCCCTCCGCCGGGAGAAAGCTCTCCGTCCCGTAGCGATCACGGGTCATGGGAAAGGCAAACGTGGGATATATGTCGGCCCCTACCGCAGGCTTCGCGGTGTCTTCGTACGGACCAAACATTTGGGGCCCAACCTTGGGATATACTACGGCGGGGTGTAACCCATGGTTTCCCTCCTTTTCTTTCCCTCCTTACTCTGTCGTCGAAAAGTCGGGGTCTGGGAGGGGGAGAATCGCCTGTGATGGATGGTCCAGGGGCCCGAGCACGCTCCCTGGGCCCTGGAGGACGGAGCTGGGGAGGAGCGCTGGGACGAAAATACTGAACCCGCCCGAGCTCTGGGGAGCAGAATGGGGAGGAGGATGAGCAGGAGCCGGGTCGGGGAGGATGCAAGGGAGGGGGTACCAAAGGGGGGTTCGCGAGTCTGCAGTATGCAGTTGGCTCTTCAGGCGCTTCCCGGAGCCAGAGGCGGCCATGCATCGTGGGGCCGAAATAAGCTGCATCCAGCAGATCTTGGACCCCTCCGTTTCCCAATTCAGACCATATCCATCATCTATGGCCTCGCGGGCCGGGGCCCCTGGTCCACGGACCCAAGGGACACGGGGAGCCTCGAGGACGTCCCGCCCGGGACGCGTGTCCAGGAGACCGCGCCCCAGGATCCAGACCGCGAGGGCGCGGATATGGACACGTACTGCGCGACCTCCCCGAGCCTCCCCCCCCTGAAATCTGACGTCTCAAGACATGGCTGACTGCCTACCAGACCACCCCAACCCAACCCGAAGACCCGGATTTCGGGTTGGGGGGGGGGTATGGGTTCCACACGTGTCTTTTCGATGTTCCCCGACCCCCCCCAACTGGAAATGGAGGGCAAATTGAGGCCTTTGGGTTGGGCTGGGGTGGTTTGGTGGGTGGTGAATGGCAGCATCGTAAAAGACTCGACTGGAGTCCCGGACCGCACCACTCCGCGCCACTCGTCGAGCCAAGTCGACCCGCGAAGGCCCCGGGGCCCCCGACGAGAGGACGAGGCGCCCAGCTCGGAACCATCGAGGCGCCAGGGTCTCAGGGGGCCCTCGTGGGCCGACCCGAGGGAGGTCGGTCCTCCTCCACCTCCTCGCTCCTCCTCCTCCTCCTTCTCCTCCTCCTCTTCCTTCCCCTCCTCCTCCTCCTCCTCGTCCTCCTCCTCCTCCTCCTCCTCCTCGTCCTCCTCTTCCTCCTCCCCCTCCTCCTCTTCCTCCTCCTCTTCCTCCTCCTCCCCCCGAGGGAGGCCGGTCCTCCTCCTCCTCCTCCTCCTCCTCCTCCTCCTCCTCCTCCTCCTCCTCCTCCTCCTCCTCTTGCTCCTTTGTGCGAGCCGCTGACCCGAGGGAGGCCGGAGGCGCGCACACAGGGGGGTCGATGGTGAGGGGGAAACGCGTCGTGGAAGGAGGCTGCTTCTCAGAGGGCGCCGGCCTCACCTCGATCGGGGGGACGTACAGTCAACCCGTATGGTAAGGATGCGCGATAAGGATGCAAGGGCCTTGGACGCCCAGTTCGAAGTTTTTCGGGCGGGGAGCAGCCAACGAAACTGGACAAGGATGGGCCGAGAAGGCAAGGATGCAAGGGTATCCTTGGGAATGCTGCCCATCCTTACTATGCGGGTTGACCGTAAGACTCGGGTACGGGGGACTCGGGTTGGCCTGACGGGGCCATCAGAAAAAAAACGAGGCCCCATCTGAAATTTGACGCGAGCTCCCGCTGCAGGCGTCCCACGAAAACTGGACAGTCAAGATCCAGGACGCACTCGTCAAACACCGTCGGCAACCTAAGTTCCAGCTTACTCGAGTCTTACGTTTCCCCGACTCTATAGATCAGGCCCGCGTTGGAGGAGCAGCCTCGTTCGGAAAGCCCTCCCCCCTCCCCACACCTCCCTCTGCGCGTGGCCGAGCTCCAGCAGGGGATCGACTGCAGCATTGATATGTCCCCCAAAATGGCCGAGCAGTCTCCGCAAGTCGACGAACATTCTCTCTACGTAATTTCCTGAGTTCGACCAGCCAACCAAATCTGAGGGTAAACTAATTGTGTAGACGATCCCCCTGCTCGACGAGTAGGGGGAGGAGAAGGCGCCGCGAAGCCCCTCCTCAGAAGACGGTGCCGTCCTGGCCAGCGGGGGGCGCTGCCCGGCATGCCCCCCCCCCCCGCGTCGAGGCGCGAGCTGGCGCATCGTCCCTGCGCGTGCCACCATCGAGGCTTCCGGGACCGAGGCCATCGAGCGATGCTCGCTGGCGGCGCGCACAAAGGGCACAACGGGGGTGCCGCGGGTTCGTGTCGTGTCGACCCTGGCGCTGGTTCCTGACACCGCGGGGATCGTTCAGCCTGGAACGCCCGCGCTGGGGTCGACGCTGGTCGACACGGCGCGGAGCTACCATGTGGGGAGGGGGGACGGCTTCTCAGGAGGAGGCCGCCTCGTAGGAGGCGCCAGCCTTACATCCACGGATGTGAGGCCGACGCCTCTTAAAAGACGGCCTCCTTCTGAAGCATCATTCCCCCCCCCCTACCCCCCCCCCTCCCCTGCGCGTGGTCGAGTTCGTTGGGAGGCGACTCCTGGAATGCGCTATTCTGCCACGACAGCGGCCGCGGCCGGCCCCCGCCGCCCACCCCCATCCCCTCAGGCGAGGCCACGATGCGTGCACCCCTGTTTTCCTCGCCGTGCCCAGACGGTGCCAGCGCGAAACGTGACGTCACAGGACTCGACCTGACCTAAGGAACGATGAATAAGAAACGGAGCCCCTTTTTGCTCCAAGTAAGTCTACGAAGTTCGAAGGAACACCAGGGGGACTCGCCGCCAAAAAGGTAGTGGAACGCATGCAAGCCAAAGGAACGACCTAGCCCCTTTTGAAAAGTAAACGCTCCTTATTCAAGCCGGATCCTGTACAGGCCCCCGTCCCCCCCTCCCCCAGCCAGCGGCATAGCCCAGGCAGAAACAAACAACGCTCTCCTGGCAGGTCCTTGTGAGCACGATCAAGGGCTACCAGGCCCGATTCACTATGGGGCCATTGAGCCAGATTCGGCCAGATTGCGCTCGGGATCAAGCTGGATTGAGCGGGATCAAGCAGGATTCAGCGGGATTAAACTGTTTTCGACCAGGGGTATGCCAGCGCCGATTCAGGATCGGACCTCGCAGGACTCGCACCCTAGTCGAGGGTTCTAGGACTGGCACCGAGGTGGTCGGGCGATGCTCGCACCTGCTTGGCACTCCGGGGCCTCCCACATGGCCGCGGCTGGATCCGCCTCGAGACTCTGGCCCAGGCGCGCCCCAGGCTAGGTCGTCAGGGGTCGATTCCCTTCCCACCCCCTCCCGACTTAAAAAGCCCCTCGCGTAGTCTGCAAGAAACCGCAAGCACAAATTTCTAGGCAATGTGGGTCTCCGGAAGCCCTTGCTGTGGGCCCCTGGGCCATCCACAAAAATTGCCCCGGACGAAAAGGGACGGCCCCGACGGCGGGCGGGATTGGGACCTCCACAGAGGTCCACATTGCAAACCGAATCTCGAAAAGACATAACATTGGGCTACGATGACTCCGAATCTCTGAGAAGCCGCGGGTCTGCTGGATGTTTCGGGCGCCACGGACGTTCCAGAGCGCTCGATACAGCTCTGAGAGCGCTCCAGAAGGCTCTCGAGCGATTCACTCCTCTCACGGGCCTGCGCGGCGGCGAACAGCAGCGACCCTGCACAGCCATGATGCGCACACCGTGCCGGAGCTGCACACGGAGGGCGCCGTCCGATCGCTGCCCGGGGCCCAAGCTCATCCTGACGCAAGCCCCCACCACTGGGAGAGCACCAATGGCTTTTCGGTCGCGGACCTGGCCCTCGTTCAAGTCGGGAGGGCCACGGGTGGGGAGAGCACCAGCGACACGCCCACGCCAAAGCCAGAGTTGAGAAGAATCTGGCGTCATGGCCGGACCCAGGCCACGCAAGGCTACAGCAAGCAGGGAGCAACGTACAAGGCCCAGGACTGTTCTTATTTGCCGAGTAAGGCTGGGAGCCAAATAGCTGATCAGCCCACCGGAACAACGAACAAAACACGCGGTTAATTGTCCAGTTTTCACTATCGGTCACCAGCATGCAAGAATGCAAAGGCATGGCGCTGCTACGACGAAGCATCAGCTCTCCAATCAAGCACCTCAGCGCTGTCGAACGCGGTATTGGGTCATGGTGGTTGAGAAGTGGCGGCTTGATGATCTGTGCCACGTCAACTAAGGAACATGTCGCGATTGTCCCCCACTGAAGATGATGGGGCTGGCGTCAGCGTGGACTTGGTGTCCGATACTCGCTCGGTCAAGGAAGCATACCATGAAGGAATCATGTAGCCTGCATTCGCACGCGTGCTCTCACAAATGGGTCCAAGCCTGACATTGGTGCGGACATGGTCGTTGCAGAACGCTGGCTGGCACACGACAGTGACCGAGCCTAGTTCTGCTGAGTTCAAAGCCTGGCCGCTTTAAGAGTCCCTGGCGCCAGTACGGCTACGTTGAAATGAAACGAGCATGGGCCTCCTAAAATCCAGCTTCCACCACAACAGTCACGGCAAAAATGATGCGTATGCCAAGGTCCCCTCAAAGTCGGTCTCGCACAACCCTGAGAATCGTCACGCCCTCGCTGACTGATGTCGCCCGAGAGTCTGGCCCAGCCTGGATTGACGAGGGGCTCGAAACTTGGTTCGCATGCGCCACATGCAGAGGCAACGCCCCATGGACACATGCGGTGGGGGGTTGGCGGGCGTGCCCATACGGAGGCCGGGCGCCAGGAACCCACCTGGGCAGGTATACCAAGACTCCCACGTCGTTTTCTATCGCAACGTGGACTTTTAGAGGTCGCGACCCATTCCCTGGCAGTGGCTTTTCGTCCTCCAAGGGCGCCGCGAAGGGCCTCCAACAATCCCACACGGACAACAACCTTCCGCCGTGTTTCGGTTCCACGATGCGACGGGTCCGGGCCGAGGCTGGCTGGCCACAAATCCCCTGGTACCCACCCATATCGGAAACATGTTTTACTCGTCTGGGATAACACGTGTTACCCTGGGTGGGGTGCGTGGGCGGTGCGGGGGGGGGTAACGGTAACGGGGGCCGCGGCGCGCACCCCTCGACGCGCGCCGCCGACGTCGTCGTCGTCGTCGTCGTCGTCGTCGGAGCCCACAGTGCCTGCGCACACACCACGGGTTTTTTACACTACTGTGCCTTTGTGCGCCAGGATTGTTACAGAGATTGTGTATGTGTGTGCACCACGGTGCCTGTATACGCCATAAGAACCGCGTGTACCACATCGCCTTTGTGCATCACACTGTTTGCGCACACCGCGGCGCCCCTGCTATTGCCGTACCCGCTGGCAACACAAAGCCTGCGTACACCGCAAAGTTTGTGAACACCAGCTGGCGCCGACGCAGCCGAATTCCGGCAAATCGTTTGGGGGCCCGAACGTATCACATTCAATCTCTGAGTTGGCTGTGGGCTTCTCTCGCCCCAAAAAAGCTCGGATATGTTGGGCCCGCAACGCCTTGTGTGCCACAGCGGCTGCGCACATAATGGCAACTGCGCGCGCCACGGCGACCGGGAACACCACGCGGCTTGGGGGCGCGCGCAGCGGCGTCAGCCGAGGGAATAGACGCAGGAGAAGCAAGAGAAACAGCAGCACCAGCAGGAGGAGCAGGAGGAGCAAAGGGAACCCCACGATGGGGTCGATAGCTCGGGGCCCGCGCTCTTTTTCCAAATGCACTGCCAAAACGCACGCCATCCTCTAGGAGAAACTCGCTGAAAGAATCCGCGCACAAGGCCACCAACGGATCTACGTCATGCACCACGCACAGCCTGCGCACACATCTCTGATTATTCCTCCTCCTCCTCCTCCTCCTCCTCCTCCTCCTCCTCCTCCCCCCGACGGAGCCACAGTCAGGGAGATCGTTGGGGGCCCGAACGTATCAGATTCAATATGTGATCTGATTGTGATTATTGTTCCCCGCATCCTAAGTGGGGTTCTTGTTTTCTCTGCACACCCTCCGCGCAGGATCTCTCCTCCTCCTCCTCCCTCTCCCTGCTCCTCTTTGCTTCCTCCTCCGCATCATCATCACCATCACCATCACTCCCCACTCATCATCATCATCACCATCACCATCCGTATCACAATCGCGCGATCATTCACCATCATCGGCATCGAACGATCATCATCATCATCATCATCATCATCACCATCATCATCACTACTCGCTGACTTGAGGCCTGCATATGGAGGAAGTCTCGAGCGGGAGCCTCGTCTGTGAGTGAATTGCGAGGAAGTCTCAGGCGGGAGCCCCCTCCCTATGGGGCCCGCACTTCATGTTTGAATCCGAGCGGGTCATCCGCAACGTGCAACTGTCGTCAGTTTTGGGCTCTTGAGAATTGAATATGGAGGAAGTCTCGAGCGGGAGCCTCGTCTGTGAGTGAATTGTGAGGACGTCTCAGGCGGGAGCCCCCATCCCTATGGGGTCCGCACTTCATGTTTGAATCCGAGCGGGTCATCCGCAACGTGCAACTGTCGTCACCTTTGGGCTCTTGAGACTTGAATATGGAGGAAGTCTCGAGCGGGAACCTCGTCTGTGAATGAAATGGGAGGAAGTCTCAGGCGGGGGCCCCCTCCCTATGGGGCCCGCACTTTACGTTTGAATCCGAGCGGGTCATCCGCAACGTGCAACTGTCGTCACCTTTGGGCTCTTGAGACTTGAATATGGAGGAAGTCTTCAGCGGGAGCCTCGTCTGTGAGTGAATTGTGAGAAAGTCTCAGGCGGGAGCCCCCTCCCTATGGGGCCCGCACTTCATGTTTGAATCCGAGCGGGTCTTTCGCAACGTGCAACTGTCGTCACTTTTGGGCTCTTGAGACTTGAATATGGAGGAAGTCTCGAGCGGGAGCCTCGTCTGTGAGTGAATTGTGAGGACGTCTCAGGCGGGAGCCCCCTCCCTATGGGGCCCGCACTTCATGTTTGAATCCGAACGGGTCACCCGCAACGTGCAACATTCGTCACCTTTGGGCTCTTGAGACTTGAATATGGAGGAAGTCTCGAGCGGGAACCTCGTCTGTGAATGAAATGGGAGGAAGTCTCAGGCGGGGGCCCCCTCCCTATGGGGCCCGCA